GAAGACATTTTAACAATACATTTGATTGTTTTGAATTTTAAATATCCAATAAATCACGATAAATTTAAGAATTCTTTGTAAATTAAAAACTAAAAAACGGAGTAGATCAAAATTATTGATTGATTGATTGTTGCTCAATTCCCAAATCGAATTTTTTACTCATAGAGACATCACCGTATTCCGGTGAAGGGCTTCAAATTTTGACCTATACTGTGCATTACAGCCATTGAATTTTTTATTTCCGACGTCAAACGTGCCAAGGACCCTCCGTTTTTAAGGTCATATCCGAATGACCCCTGACGTTCAATTCTAACGCCGGTGTAAAGACGAATAATGACGTCATTTTTGCCGTCAAATAATGACCCCCGGTCATTTAAACGGCGAAAAATGATCCACGGTCATTATTCGATGTCGAAAAATGACCCTTTTGCCCGTAGAAAAAGTGTCATCACCCTAAAAATCTGCCTACCCTACGTGAAGAAAAACACCCCCGTAGAATAATGACCCCTTGTAGATTAAAGTTTAAATTTTTAGGGGACAAAAAAAAGAAAATAAATCAAGAGACCCGTTGGCCAAAATGTTCACCTATGCTAAATTGGGAATAAATCGATGATATGTTGATTTCATTACATTATACAATTATTGTTGTTTAAAGGTCAATACGATGATTCAGAATCTTGAGGAGTAAAAGATTTATTGAGCGCAAAGCGCGAGGTAAACATTGTTTTTTAATGGTGGAAAATCATCGTACTGACAGAAAAAAACACCAATAATTGTTTTATTATATGATTCAACGAATAAATTCATACAAACTGATTAAGCAGACATGTCAAGTTTCTTATTAACATTTGCTCAAGTCCTAGCCAAACACAGTGAAAGAGAATCGAAGTTAACATAAGCATAACCAGTATTAATTTTGCATTTGAAATCTATTTTTGGTGCAATGTAGAAAAAAAATAATGTCAGGCATGACATCGAAAGGGGAAATGGGGCATTATAAGAGGCAAAAATGACAAGTTACCTTAGAAATATCTATGATGAACCCCTCAAAAAGTTTAATGATATAAGGGGGATTTCCTTTTACTTTACTATATCAAAAAGTTGGGGGTAGGGCAACCAGACTTTCAATGAACATTTTCAAGCGAAAAAATAAAAATTCATGTTCATGAAAATGGAAGGGGGAGGACATCCCATCCCACCCTGATTCTATGCGCTTGAATGTTATGTTCACCTTGTCCACTCAGTACGAGAGATTTTTTTAACTATACTGTATAAAAAAGATGGGTGGTTGCAAGATTTTCAATGAACATTTTAAACTAGAAATTGCTTAAATTTACATTCTGAAAAAGTGGGGGGGGGATCCCTCCCCCTTCGATTCTTTGTGCCTAAATATTATGTTCACTTGAGTGGAATTCGGATGCAGCTGAAATAACTTCAGAATTGTTTTCAATCTATTTTTAGTTTAAAGTAGGGAAAAAAATCCTTATGTTCACCTGGAAGGTCAATAAAAAGGTCTGTCTTTAATGATAAATTGAAAACATTAACCTACTTCAATATACACTGTATTTGAAATTTTTCGATATTGATTTGACAAATGTATCACTGTTTTAAAGTAGATTTTTTTAAAAAACATATTCCTCTTACATGTATGTATCCTATTCTCAGACGACCATGTTAACAGACTTGAATGTACATTATACTGGGATTCTTCTTTATTACTTCTATATATTTGAAAAGAAATTCCCATAGACCAGAAATTTTATGTCTTTCTTATGTTTGCCATGTCTGCTTCATATTTGGACGTTCTACTGACTATAGACGATAAAGTCCAACTAACAACTAAGTTGTCTGACAAACGGGATGACTTCAGCTTTTTCCATCGTCAACTTTCTTTTTTTATGTAGTAATATTCCGCTTTCATTTGCATATGATGTTTACGTCTACCAATGTATTTGATACCCAAGAGCACACGATTAATTTTTAAGTCGAGGCAGGCTACTGACAGATACATGTAAGTTTATGTTACAGGGGTTTCAACAACCTCGTTCAAAGTCAGCATTCGTAAATTCAGTGGTCTTATCAATGACCCTGTCAACAAATATAACCTATAATTGGGTCAATTGTTTGGCCCTTGTTTTTATACTAAATTTGACAACGGAATGCCCCGTTTACCTGATTATTCATAGGGCTCACAGCTGGTGTGACAGGTCAACAGGTGATGCTTACTCTTTCTATGCACCTGATCCCACCTCTGCAATTTTCGAGGGTCCTTTTTATGCCCTGTTAACAGAATTGTATTGTTTGTGGATATTTTAAAATCATCACTGTTCGTCATCTTCACCTTTTTTTTTTATTAGGAAATATATCCACAGTATGTAATTAGCACGAGATATTATGTCATTTGCGATACATTCACCTCATTTGCACTTGTTATGTCTTTTAATATATATATATATATATATATATATATATATATATATATATATATATATATATATATATATATATATATATATATATATATATATATATATATATATATATATATATATATATTACATTGCATAACTTTCCGTATTTATTTCCGAAAACTTATGTCATTAATTTTTTTTCCTTCACTTTTTTTTTAAAAGTTGCTCATACTCTAAGCATGCTGAATATTTTGGGAGTCATGTTTAATATTATCAAGCCAGAACATTTCGCTTGTGTTTTATTTAGCTATGAATATCTATAATCAGTCAAATATCCAAATATGAAACAAATGGAAGACAGTCATAAAGGGAAATTACGTTAAGAGATAAAACCAGTAGTAGCATTTTGCGATTTTCAATATGTGCTGAGAACACAATAGGCTTAATAGATAGAAATATAGATGCATGTAAATTTAATGCTGTTTTATTGCATTTTAATCGCGCGTTCGCCCAGTGTTGGTCAAAAAGGGCATAAGGAAGAATTAAACTTTGAGGTTCAAACCTTGGCGGCCCTCACGGTAGCTCAGTCTGTAGAGTGCTCGCTCCGTGATCGGAAGGTCGTGTGTTCGAATCACGGCCACGACTGACCTAAGCTGATAAAAAGTAGGTAGCAACTGTTCCTTCGACAACGCAGCTCTGTTAAGGCTGCATAAAGGGGGCGGGGCCTAATTTATACGGGAAAAGTTTACTGTGACATCACACAAATATAGCAATTCCTCACAATAACAGAAAATGAAATAATTTGCGAATCTAAGCTGCATAAGAGTAATGAACTACATCAAAACTTACCACTGCATTCATTTTTGTCGCTAGTTAAATCCCACACAGTAAGATATAAACAAGTCACTGATCGCAATGCACTTGTCGACATGACGTCATCTTGGTAAAGTTTGACGCATTTTATGTGCAGTGAGAGGCGGATCAAGTAATTTTTTCACAGTGAAAAATGCATTTTATTATCAAACAGAATATTATTTGCAAATGTTAGGTAGCCATTAATACAAATCTGAAACGTTTGTTTAGTGCCATTATTTAAAAAATATCGAGAGAATGTATTGAATTAATTCTACCGTGTTTTTGTCTACAGGGTGTGCATGTTTCACGCCGAGGTGCCTCATTAAATCGCCTTTTCGCAAGGGCATACACTTAATAGATCTTGACCATTCTTTGAATACACATAACGGACGTATTCCTTAACTTGAAAAGTGCTGCTGCTTTCTTGAAATCGATAGCATGATTTAATAAATACATAAAATACTTGGTAAAGGTCACACATATTTCAACATTAGCCAGATAACTTGAAATTTAAACTAATAAAATGCGAATTCTATTTAAAGCAGCAGCACTTTCCATAAACTACAAGTTATGTAGAAACAAACTATTACTTTAATTTTTAATTTTAACTAGGGTATGCCCTTGCGATATTGAAATTTGTTTGTGACCTACATACAGTACACATTACATGCATTTATCACGTGACTATCAAATAACGTGACCAAACCAAATTTAGTACAGAGTGGGGTATACAATGTTATTTCAAAGAATGTTAAAGTCATAAGATAATATAGTACCTTTACAAAAATAAATTCAGTCTAAAAAGGTATGTATTTATGCACGTTTATATTCTTTTGATTTCTTTGAAGTACGCCTTAACAGTGCTGCGAAGCTCGGCACTTTGATTCCTTCGAATCCTTCGGACGAGACCTTAAAAACCAAGGCCCTGTGTAAGGATAGGCGTTGGAACGATAAAGAACCCTCACTGCTCAATGGCCATGAGTGCCGAGTAAAGGTTTAAATTTGAAGCCCTTCACCGGTATATGGTGATGTCTCTATATGAGTGAAAAATTCTCGAGTGGGACGTAAATCAATCAAACTTTTGCATCAATCACCTGTTATAAATTTTGTATCACTTTTTCTACAAAAAATTATTTTTTTCTACGGCTAGGGGGTCATTTTTAGTCGTTGAAAAATGACCCCCCGGTCATTATTCTATGGGGGTCATTATTCGTCTTTACACCGGGTGTCTTGCGAAGGAACAGTCACTACCTATGTTAACGTCTTAGGCTTGATTCCACAGGTCAAAATAAAATAACCTACGAAAAACATGTATACACTTTAAGATTTCACTTGTCATGTCTCTCTGAAATGGCGTTAATTACATAATCGAACTCAAATTTAAATTTGAATAAAGTATAGGCACATCTGTTCACATGGCATATTGTGTCGTATTACATATAAATTGCTTTGTTGAGCAGAATCAATTGCAGAACACATGTTTTATTGAATAAGAGGAAAAATGATGTTGCAGGACGTCACGGATCAATAATTTTGTGTTCCACTCGGAAAATTCCAAAATTAATTCCGAATATGTTTGAGAAAGCAAAAAAATATATCTTTTATAAATGGTAATCGTATTTTTTTTAATTGGAAGAGATGAGAGGAAACGAATTTTTAATAAGTAAAAAAAATGGACCAAAGAGTACGTATATTCGTCATTTTTTCCGGAGTAAAATGTAACAGGGAAGGTACCAAAAAGATTCTGCTCTGCCTTGTTTTTTGAAAATGTTGGATCATTTTTCTGACTGCTCCTTTTTCTCTGCGGGTCAATAAAACCGTTGTATCCAGTTGTGACGAGCCTCTTCTCGCTGTTAACAATACACGTACCAACCTAAAAATTTGTATACTGAAGTTTTGTATCAACTGAAGAAAAATTGAAATATAAGAGGAAAAATGACTCTATAATAAACACAACAAAAATTGATGGTTGCAGAATACTGCATTAAAACGAGTAGAAGTAAATTGGTGGATTATTGTCATTATCAATAAAGTACGTTACTAACCAATATCATTTTTTTTTCAATTTAACACACACATGAATGAATCTTGAACAAAACAAAGCATGTTACGAAGGAAAATGGACTTTCATTTGACAAAAATCGAAACAAATATATATATCATTATTGTGTAAAGAAGTACCTAAATGATATAAGCAATTATATTGTACATGTGGGGATCATAATTGTGTCAAATTAATTTATTTGTGATTGATTTTCTTGAATTTCTCCATGTTCCCAAATGAAAGAGCACTTCAAAAAATTTGAAAGGAGAAAATTGAACAGATTTTTTTTTTACTTTCTGTGCGTAATGTGATTTTAAAAAAAAATACATTGATAATTGAACACATGCAAAATCGCAAATGTTTACTTATTCTTTGTTTTGAGTGCCATCGAAAACAGAGCAGAAAGAAATCTTATCTGCGTTACTTTTTTGCTTGAGTTATGACCTATGCAAATTAACTCCGCAGAATGGAAAGGAAAATTTTAAATCCCCCCTTTCCTACTGAAAGAATAACATCTCTATTGATCTCGTGAAGAGATTTTAACAAATTATGATATGTGCAAAAAATTATTAGGAGACTATAACTAGTTACCGAAATTCATTTTTTGAAACAAACTATCTACTGTTCGTACGTCATATTTGCTTCTTTTTGCTGAGAGGAAAGCAATACCCATGAAATATTCATCCCAAGAAATAATGTCATTTTTCTGTGATCTGAAAAAGTTCATAAAGTTAATTGTATCACGAGTTTAGAATTGTTGAGGGAAAAAATATTTAACTATGCATTCTTTGGTACTTTCCAATTTTTATTTCAAACTTTCTTATCACCAATTAATGATTTATCATCATAGTAAGATAAATCGAATATATATATATATATATATATATATATATATATATATATATATATATATATATATATATATATATATATATATATATATATATATATATATATATATCTCGAGACAGAGAGAGAGATTATAGAACAATGTTCCCTTCAATATAATGTATGGATATAAAACAAAATTGGTATTTATAATTTTTGAAAAAATAGTTTTTTTTTTTTTTAGCAGAACACGATAGTCTTTTAAATGCCCACTTAGTAAAATGAAAACCAAAATTGAGGAGAAACAGAATTGAATTAAAAGAATGTGTGAAAATATCGTTTTATCTTCATTTCCTATTTGAATATAAAACGTTGTTTCTACAATTCGACATTTTTTAGATTACTGAACTATAATAAATTGCTAAATTCAAATCTTTAATAATAGTGTTTAACATTACTGTACCCTGCGTACTTTTATGAGTAACCCATTTCTTAATTTCTTTCATACCTTCGTCTTTTGCGCGGTTGTCTCACTCTTCTAACATTAGTGTCATCACTCTCTTTTGACTTCCGACCACCAGACATGTTTTGTATGTTTTAAATTTATCTCACAATTTGTTTAACTTTCTGGTTAACGTTCTTATACGAAGATTTTCTAAATTGGTTTATTTTAACAAAGAAATATAAAATCCCAGTCACGTGATAGGTAAACCATTTTTAAGAAATCCCTTTTCTTTGTATAAATATACTTACTATGGCAAAACGAAAATATTAAATTCCTTTACAAAGAATTAAATGCGAAAGTAGTTTCAACAGCTGCATACATGGATCGATAAGGTATAGATTTTTTTTTTTTTTTTTTTTTTTTTTTTTTTTTTTTTTTTTTTTTTGCCAAGTATCACATATACATTTAACCTAATTCATGAATATCACAGGTAAAACTGCGTAGTTGATTTGAGTGAAATGGTAAGTATTATGCAATTAGTAAATCAAATACCCTAAAACCTTGAAAATAAGCCGCGGCTTATTTTAAGTTTTGGTAAGAAAATCGGGGCTTATTTTCAAAACCGTTTTATTTTCAAATCGCGGCTTATTATCAAAACCAAAAACCGGTAAGCGACGAGAGCATAATCACGGCTTATTATCTAAACAATAAATTATAATCGATCGATTTTGAACTGCCACATATGGCCGAGTATAATATGCATCGGACATACTGTAGCATTACCAACAGACATAGACAATTTCTTGTTGTTTACCGCTATATTTAAAACCTTAGTAAATTATGATAAGAACGTAAACTTGTTGAAAATGTTAAATTTATAATTTGTTGATGGTTAAATTATATTGGAAAGCGAGTTAAAATTAATTTTAACTGCATATTCAAGCCGCCATATCACGATGTTATTTATAGACGTTTACACATTCCTTTGCCACGTGCTTGCTTAATGTATCAAATCAGTCTGACATTCGGTTTTCAAAAAAAAAAGCAATTTATAAGTTTATTTTGATTTTAAATAACTCAGTGGAAATTTCATATAAACACCCCCGTATACGTCCCAATTAAAGCCATTGTTGTGAAGGAGTGTACATGTTTGTTTAATGATTTTCTCATCACACCTATTATCAATGGCTTTGATTATTTTCATTGATATAATTGGGGTCGATTTATGTCCTTCGTCCATTATAGTAATTTAAAAAAAGAAATATCAAGTTTGTTAAAACTTAATTATTAAAATAACGCTAGCTCTGTTGAAAATAAGAGATTACCGCGATGCACACAGTCATGATTACCGTTGCTAAATAAAGATTTAATCGGATTTATGTAGTGAATGCGTTATAAATCCATTTATCACAGCGCCCCACGTGGAAGGATGCGCGCGCAATATATGCGCAAGCATTTGTACATTCCATTCTCACACCATTTCCAAATGTTGCACGTTTAGGGTTTGCTGTGAATTTTTAAGAAAATTTAGAATATTGCACAATGACATTGTCAAAAGACTGTGGTGTACAAGACGAGGTTTTACTGATTGTTTGCACTAATTGTACCGTTAGTGTACTTCAACATGCTAGAGTTTTTGACTTCGCGCCGAAGGGCTGTAAGGAGCGTATGGACGTTAGCTGAGGCTCTTACTTGTAGGAGTATTGTTGCTGTAAATAGTGACCAAGATGTCCACAACATCTATAGTCGCCAAAGCCAAACAAGGCATTACAAAATGGAGAGAGAGAATAACGTCAATACCAGCAATGAGGAGGACATGCATAATACTACTACACACAGCACAAACGGTATGTCATCTTGTATGCCTACATCAATTATTAGTATAATGTTTTCACTGTTGTATCAATTACATTTTTTAAAAAATGCACAAGAAAATACTAAATGTTCAGTTAATCGATCATTCTGTTAAAATCAGTGAGAAAAGACAAAGAATAAGCTAATCATTACAATTGGTTTTATTGTATTTAGTAGAATCTAAATTCAAGCACAACCCCTTCAACCACAAAGTTTAGAGCAATATAAATATAATTATGCACACGTTAAGATTGGGTTCCATAAAACTCCCATTGACTTGAATTAATTTAACCTCATACCCTCAAGATCACGCACTCGGCATCGTCGGTCATTGTTCCGATGTTGTAAGCGCCCGAGTATATACTTCATGGAGCCTTAATGTTATCGATATATGAGGCTATAATAATAAGACTAATTTATTTATTTACCAATCAATGAGCTTTGAAAGGGGGGGGCGTATATATATATATAATTTATAAAAACAATACAATTACGTTTATAGCAAGTAATGGCTGCATTACGTGCAATATTAACCTGATCCTCACTTGTAATATTTAACTGTCCTCGCTAGCAATCCTCATACAATTGAAAGACTAGTGTTTTGATGCCAAATATCGTTACTTATTGTGTATATATGTGCACATTGTTATAAAATGTGTATTTTAAGCTTGTTCTCCCTTCGATTAACATCTTCGTGTCCGTCCTCAACAAATCAGCAACCCCGGCCTGGGGAAACACTTTTTGAAACAGAAAACCTTAAATTTCGTTACTCCTAGGCATTCAATTAATAAACATCGGTCATTCTTAAGTAAATATTAAACTCCTTCCAATATTTATGCATGTCATGTTCCACCAAAGCAAGAATTAGGCGATGAGTTGAGGATTGGTTTTAGTTTAATTTAGGGCGCATGGAGTGAAGAGCAAATTAATTAATTAATTAATTGAAATTAGTTTCAGTAGATCTGTATCAAGACAAATTCAGTATATGTTGCTGAGTGAAATAGCTATGGGCGAATGGCTGTTCCTTTTTCATTAACACCTCTATCAAAACTAGGCCCATAAATCATGGAGGGGGATCAATATCCACATAACAATAAACCCAAAAATTTTATAGATTGAGGGCCATAATTGGTATGATAGCACCATTGATAAGATCTTTACCTGGCAAAATGTTTACAAAAAATCGTTTTTAGACTATTGTCTAGAAAACCAGATGATTTTTTGCGTACTTGGCTTCGAATAACTACTATGTCAAACGCCTTCCATTTGTTGTTACACATCGTCACAAATTAATAAATAAATAAAGTGATTAATAAATTAATTAAACACATATGAAATATTATTATTTTTTTTTTTTTTTCAATGGGTCGTCAGGTCACAACCTGGTTCGAAATATGAAACTCATTTATCTATCTTGATGTCTTTCTGTTTTGCAAGTTCAGCTCACGCCAACATTTGCTCAAAATTGATGACACGTTTGGCGATTTTGGTCAGCATTGGGAATTCTTCAATGCGTTGAACATTTGTTCCCGTCACAAAAATTAATTCATCTGGGTTTGGAAATTGATACATGTCAAGTTTGTATTCTGACGAAAAGCTAATTAAACCTAAGATTTTGCTGATAGGAAGGGCCAATAAATCTTAAAAGTCA